TCTCTGAGATACGGGGAGCCAGTGTAAGGACTTTAGAGCTGGGGTGATGTGCTCTACTTTCTTAGGGAAGGGTTCTTTTAATGGCAAACTGGGCTATTACATTATTCAACCATCAGGGGTAGAAAATGTGAACAGTCATGCTGTGGAAGAGAGTTCTTTTCTGATAAAATATATAAAACTCATGTTTTTAAATGTTTTATGTAAATCTAAGCATCAAAATAATAAACACTCTAATCACAATTCTATTTAAATCTCTGACATTTCCCTATTATAAAAACATTGTGAGTCAGATAGTTTTGCACAAGGTTGCTCTTCTCCACTTTGAAGTCATTTTACCATACTTATTCATTATCTATTTTTTATGCAGCTCTCTAAAAACAACAACATATTATGAAAGTGACTCTGCCTTTAGATTATGAATCATGTTGACGAGCAAACAACTTACCATTATAGTTCATTGCATCTATTTAATCCATAACAGGTAGCATATAAAATGAGTGTTTCTGGGTTGGCCTGAATCAGTGCTACAGTTTATTTGGAGGGGTTTTAGTGTTTTGAAATTTTTACAAAGTGGGCCAGAAAAGCTGAGAAACTTGTAACAGTCATTGGGGTGTTCAACTGTTATTGCAAACTATTGTTCTCTTTGAAAAGTTATTCATGCCTCCCACCAGCCTGTAATGCAAAGAAAAGTGAAAAAAAAATTCAAATCAACCGATACCAAAAGCCTAATCGCCTTAGTCTTATTACTATACACATGGTTTTAATTAAGCACAGCTACACTGAAACATTCTTTTATTAGTGAGTGGGGAACATAAAGTAAAATCTAAAAATGCCTCTAAATTTATGTGATGAGTGAAAGCCATTTGTTTCAGCAAATGGCTTTTAGCTAGATAATGAAAGGCACATTTGATCCAATGTTCCCAATTTAACTCTGTCTTCAAAAGTGTCCTCTTTTTTTTTTTCCATTTCTCTGGATCAGTGATATTATCAAAGAGAAAACATTTAAATAAACTTTACATAAAATTGTGTTTATTTACTGTGAATTGCCATGGATGCACTATACTGAAAACAGATCACATATTGTTTTGTTTTATTTGTTAATGTTTTAACCATTTACTAAAGATTTAAAGTTTTTTTTGTATTTCAATATTGCTTCAGGCGGTTTAAAATATCACCTTTAAGGAACCTTTTGCTATCTGATTATTCATCCAAAAAAACAGATTGATAAGTAAAATATTTGTTAATTGCAGCCCTAATCCAAACTGAGAGTTGTATATTATTCTTTTAATACTGTCGTTCTTATCTTGGAAATTAAGAAACAAATTGCAATATTTGTGATATGATATAATATTGGCCTAAAAAATCGTTCACCCCAAAACATTGGGAGCACATATCTAGAATTGATCAGACTGATGTCAAAATAATCGGTAATGGCATCAACATAAAAAATCCTGCATTGGTCAATCTCTTTCTAATCCCTTTTCTTTGTCATCAACATAAGTTTAAGATATTTGAATTGAAAAATGGGACCTCAAAACTTCATCACTGTAGTTTGCTTATCGAGAATTTGCCTCTTTTGAATCTGTTTCCAGAGCAGCTGAGCTACATGCTATTAGTCTGCTGTGGCTGCTGGCTCAGCCAGAGCAGCATGGGGGATGGAAACTTTGGCAGTTTTAGGAAAAAGTTTAAAGTATTGGTATGCAATATTTGAAAGTTTCTATAGGTTAGAACATTTTTTAGAAAAACCTCTTAACAAAAAAAAAAAAACCTTCTTTAAAACTTAATGTGAGAAAGCAGTTCATCTGGAACATGAGTTTATTTAGAAATGTGCTTTCAGATTTTTTTAAGC